GTATGTGTATGATACCTTCTCACTTTCCATCTCCAATTCTCTTTCTCTGCTGCTAATTAACATTTACAAAACAACCTCTATTCACTATTTATTCAATCAAAACTTCCTCCTCTCAATCTCTATATCTCTATTCTGTTACTTCAATCCACACAACTTAACCACCTTATAAGATTTCCAGATTCTGCTCGTTAAAGATCGATCATGCATGCATGCACTTCAAAGAATGTTAATAAACATCGAGTATATTTTATCAGATTCTAATTATCTAAAAAAAAATATTTAACGACTTTTTATATTTTTAATAAGTAGTTTTTTCAAAATAAAGATATGTTTATTTTATTAACTATTATGATAAATAACGAGTAAAACTGAATTCAAATTTAGTAAAATTATTCGGATATATATCTTATACTAATAATATATATAATTCACTTTTTCACTGTATGTTAAACATAAATTTCTATTTTATATGAAAATATTTTTAAAATTTTCTCTTTTACGAGAATATTTTTAAAGATTTTTTAAATTCTTTATCTTATTCAATTTTTATTTATCCTATTTATCTATGAATCAAATTATAATATCTATAAAATAAAATTGACTCGAAAGATTTTAGAATTTTTTTATGTTTTTATTTAATTTATTTTTTATTTATCATATTTATCTATAAATTAGAATAGATGCCTGACAAGTTTAACTTCTCAATGATAGAAAACACTATCCGTTCTATAAATATTTTCAATATTTATCATATTTAACTTCTTAACGATGAGAAAGCACTATCCGTTCTTATGACTTATCTACTATTAGGTAGGAGGAGATGTTATACTTTTCAGAAAAGAAAAAAAAACCTGTTATTTTTAATTTCTTAGTTAACATTTTTCTAATTTATATACGTTGTCATCAATATAATTATTTTTATGGACATTGAACCATAATTTACTTTATTACCACATTATATTTATTTAATTAAAGTTTAAATGATCATTTGATTTCTATAATTTTAAAAACTTTATTTTTTAGTTTTTGTAGCTAAAATATTTTATTTTAATTCTAGATATATCATTTGTGTTTTATTTTATGTTTTAATTGCTATAAAAAATAAAAATAAAGTTTATAAAATTATAAGAATTAAAAAATACAAATAATATATAAAAAGAATTAAAATAAATTATTTTTAACTGTAAAGATTAAAAAATAAAATTTATGAAACTATAAAAACTAAATTAATGTTTAAACCATTAATTAATAAAATGAAATGACAATAATACTAGTTTTTATTGAATGTATGTGCATGACGCAGGTGAAATAGAATGCGTGATGCTGGACCCACCAGCCCAATAGCCTTGTTCATTAGAAGGATCACGATATATACACCCCCTTTTTTTTTATTTTTTTTTATAAGTACACTCTTTTTTTAAAAAATAATTAATTAAAATTTTAAAATATTTTTAATTTTTATATTTTTTTTTAATTTTTTAATTTTACACTCCTAACATTTAATTTAACACTTTTTTACATATCTCTTTCTCTTATTTTCATATGCACCCTCTTAATTTTTTTTTACCCCCACTTATTTTGATAGGTAATTTTAATTATTTTAGTTTTACATTATTCTTTTCTCCATTTCTCTTTTCAGTTTTCTTATTGATTTCACTATCCGCATAGTACTCTAAAATAGTGAAAATGTCTTTTTCATAACACTAAACTTAATATTAAGGTTTTTGGAGGGATGAAAGGAAAGGAAGTGTTGGAAGAAAAAATGTGGATCTAGTTTGATAAAAACTGTCGAAAAAGACATGTACCTACAATGTTGTCGCCTACTAATTCTATAATTTGGATACATATGAAAAAGTGAAAGATGTAAGAAAATAAGAGAGTAATATAAAAATCGAAAGAACTAAAACTACCCACTGAAATATGTGAAGAATTAGAGGAAGACAAGATGATACATGTGAAAATTAGAAAAGAGAACAAAGGAAGTGTGTGAAAAGAAAAAATAATAAATTGAATATTAGAGATGTAAAATTAAATATTTAAAAAAAAATTATGAATATTTTAAAAAAATTTAAAAAATAAAGGATGTATACTTATTAAAAAAAACAAAAGAGGTATATATATCATTAGCCTCATTAGAATTCTTAACTAAATGGAAATTCGGCCTAGTTTTTCACATTAGCCCGGTTAACCTGGCCCATTTAGCAGCCCTAACAGCAAGTTGATTAAAGAGTGAGACAACTTGATTCGGCTTTTCCTTTTTTCAGTCAAAAATTACATAATCTCAATCAATTCACTGATGTGAATAATTTAACAGGAAGGGGATGGAGTTAGGGATGACAACGAGACAAGTCGGGTACGGGTTTCATGATATTTGTTCTCGTTTCCGTTCTTGTACCTATTGGATATATGATTTTCATCTTCATTCTTGTCCCTGTCGAGTATCGGGTATACCTGTACCCGTATCTGTACCCGTCAATTTTTTTTATTTTTTATTTTTTATTTTTTATAAAAAATTATGATATTTTTAAATTATTTTTTATTATATTATAATTATAATTAAGTTATTTCTCTATTTCATATTATAATAAATAATCACATATTAAAAAAATATTAAAATTTTTTAATATAATTAAATTGAAGGTGAGTATTAAATTAAAAATGAGAACGGGGATGGGTACAGGTACGGGTACGGGACAGGTAAGTACATATTTGTACCTGTACCGTACCCGATTTAAAGTATCGGGTTTTACCCGTACCCATACCCGTACCCAGTCAAACCGGATATTTTCCATCAAAGTCGAGACGGGTTCATGTATTACTTGCGAGTATGAGTATATTTATCATCCCTAGATGAAATAGAGTGAATTTAGAAAAATATATATTTATATTTGATGAGAGAAATCTAGGAAGGATTATGAGAAATTAGAAGTGAATCATATATTATTTTTTAATATCTTTTTCTTTGAGAAAATTCTTGTAAAATTTAAAAAATATATAAAATTATAATATGTAAAAAATAATAATAAATAAAGTGTAAAATAATAATTATAAATATCAATTTTATTCTATTTCTTACTTAATTCCAATTAATTAAATAATTACAAATATCATTATATTTTTTATTTATTTTCTATCATATCAATTCTTACTTATTTATTTTCTCTCATTTCCTTGGATTTCTCCCCTCCTCAAATAAAGCATAAATGAATTGGCTCATGAATTTACTCTTCTGATTTAAAAAAATGTATACAAATTCAATATTTTTAAAATTAAAATAAATACTAATTCGTAATAAACTCCAAGAATAAAAGCGAGAGTGAAAAAATATTTTTATAAGTCAAAAATTAAATTGAATTAAGTTGAGGAAGTGGACAGAAAAGGTGTTGTGATGTTCAGTGCAAAGTAAAACGTGTTTGGCTTACTGACACGCACTCTACTTTACATTTTGACACGTATTACATTCCCATCTACAACTGCTTCTTATTCACCATTTTTTCTCTAACTTAACACTATTCCCTTTGTGTTGTGTCTGTTATTAATTCTCCACACAGGTACAATCTATTCATTTTTATTTTTATTTTTATCTTTGTTCTTCTATACAAATTTCAAATTTTATGTTCTGCCTCCTGATAATCCTCATATGTTTCACTCAATTCTATGAGCCATTTCGTTGATAACAAGCATACATAGTAATCATTATTAGAAATAATAATAACTATATATCTGGGTATGAATTATGTGCTACCTTTATTTTCGGTTCCCAAGATTGAGCATTGCATAAGGGACAAGAATATAGAACTTGAATCATCGGTAAGACTTTCTAAATAATATTTCAGGAGGCAAAGAGTTTGGGCATTAGCATTAGCTCATCTACCAGCAGAACTTAATTTGAGATCTTCTTTTACCTTTTGAGAACCCATCACTTTTACATCTTAAAAACTCTTCTTATATTTTATTCTAATTTATGATTTTTTTTTCTTAATGTTTTTAAGAGTTTAATTCTCAAAAAATTTTCTATGAAAATAATTTATTTTAGTCTGGATGACAATTCAGGCTTATTAATGAAAGAACTCAGCAAGAATGTGCATGTTGTTAGTAGAGATGATAATTCAGACTAAAATAAATAATCATAGTTCATTCAATTCATTTCATTTTTGAACCGGCAAAACAATATTTTTCTTTGTTCTTATTTTATGTTCATCAATAATTTACACAATTATAAATAATTATTCAAAAATATAAATATTAAGGTACAGTAGATTAAGTTTAAGAAAAATTTAACCTTTATTCACGAACTATCTTTATTATATGAATTTTTAAAATGATCTAATTCTAACTTGATAACATTTAAAAAGTTATTATAAAATATTATCGTTTTATAATTCCTTTTTTAAGGATGATATTCCTTCTAAAGGGTTACTTTCCCCAGCTTTTTTCTCTTGAGGAAATTATTGGAATCCAGGTAGTCTCTATGGATAAGGAAACTTTTTCTAATCCCAGCTCTATTACCCTTATAAATGTTACTAATATTATTTTAAGAGTTAATCACTTATACACTGTCAGTATAAATTTTTTTATACTGATAACTAATTAGATCTTTTAATTGTGACATGTCACTGTTAAAAATAAATGTATTTATACTGACATAATTAAAAGATCTAATTAGTTGTCAGTATAAAAAATTTTCACTGACACTATACAGGTGATTAACTCTTGTTTTAATCCCAAGAGCGAGCATCCCTGATTTTTGTCCGATAAGTCTCTGTAATGTCATTCACAAAGTGCTAACTAAAGTAATGACGTCTAGACTCAAGAAGTTTATGGATCCTAACCAAACCAACTTTATCCATGGGAGGTAGAGTCGAGACAACATTATCATAATGTAGGAAGCTTGTCATTTGATGTGTTGTTCTAAGAGGAAAGTGGGGTATTTAGCTGTCAAGGTTGATATTGAGAAAGCCTACGACAATATAAAATGGTCCTTTGTGGTTGATATTTTTCGGGATTTGGGATTCGATTAACATTTTATTAATCTTATCCTTCATTATTTATCATTGGTCTCTTTTCGGGTTTGTGTGAATGGTGAAAAAACCGAGTTCTTTAGGCTTGAGCGAGGTCTTCACCAAGGAGACTTGATATCTCCTTATACATTTGTGCTATACATAGAGAGTATAACACATTTCATTCAGTGGAAGGTGAATTGTGGTTCTTAGACACCCCTTCGTTTGGCTACAGGTGGCATGTGTGTATCAACCCTTTTTTCGCATATGAGCTTCTACTTGGGAAGGCTTATAGTTCTAGCCATCAAATGAGACTGGTCACTAATTGTCTGGATCTTTTCACCAAAGCAACAAGGATGAAGGTTAGTGGCTTTAAAACTAGAGTGTTCTTCTTTAAAGGGATGAATCATAATAGAAGAATGAAGTTAGTTGGTGTGGTTTGGTTTTAGAATCACTGTTGATGCATGGTAGGAAAACTAAAGGTGTTTTCCATCATATTGCTCTTAGAGATTGTCAACGGCTTTCTTCTTAGTAAGTGTCTAATCTTTCGTTTGCAGGGAGAAGCACTCTTACTCTAAGTGTTATTCAAGAAATGCCAACCTACACTATGCAATCTTCCCTTGTCCCGAAAGGTGTTTGTGATAAGCTTGAAAGTATCTAAATGAATTCATTTGGAATGACAACTCCAATGGCCGAGGACGGTATACTAGGATTCAGATTTTTTAACTTTGAAACATGAAAGTTACAGTAACTTAATACATTTAAACCGTTAGATTTATAAAAATAAATTAAATTATGACACGTGTACAATATATATTTTGACTTAAATGTACACGTGTCACAATCTGATCTATTATTACAAATTCAACGGTTTAAATGTATTAAGTTACCATAGTTTTCCCTCCATAAAGTCAAAAGATCCATTTCCAGCATACTATCCCTTGAACACTATGTGTCAACCAAAGTCTCATGGTTGATTAGGATTCCTAAAACTCAATATGTTTAACAATTAATATTAGTGTTAATTATAAATAATCATTAAGTAATTTTTTTCTAAAACCAAATGATTAATTATAATTAACAAAAACAAAATATTGTCTTTAATGTCCAACACAATCATAATTGTTATTTTAATATTTTAGCATGTTTATTATATACAATTAAAATTTATATTAAATTATATATATATATATATATATATGTTTGAATTTTTAAATTATATTTAAAATTAGTATACATAATATTTTTAACATATAATTTATATTTTAGATTTATGATAGATAATTTCTATTGTAACAAAATTTATGTATTTATTTATTGATAATTTTTAAAATTATTAATATTTAATATATAATTAATTATGAAAAACAAAAACTGAATTAGATAATAAAATTCTTACAAACTCTCTCGTTAAAAAAAGTAAAAATATTTTTGTGTAAGACATACTTATATTTAATATATAAAATTTGATTAATTTATATTGTTTAATTTTATTTGTCCATATATATATGTAAAGTTTTATTTTTTAAAAAATATTATATCAGTCTTAAAAAGAGTTATTGATAGATTTGCAAAAATATTTTTTATGCTCCTTTTATCTTTTCTCTTGAATCATATTTCTTTTAGTTATCTTAAATTCTAATTTTATTTATACAAAATTTAATGTTAATTACTACAAAGACATTATAAATTATACAAGTATTTTTTAGTGCAGATTGTACAACAGTACAAGCATTAAATATCTTTGTTTACATTTTAATTTATTTATTCATTAATGAAGAATACAATATGCTAAAAGATAAATTTTTAAAATATTAATATTAAAACAAATAATGTTAGTTTAGAATACTTGAGAATATAATTTACAGATGCATTATAAGTTTTTAATTTAAAATTATATATATTAATTTAATTTTCTCCCAATACCCTAATTAAAAGAAATTATATTCAAAACTAATACATTACATAAGTAATAAAATAATATGTATTCTATAATTTAAATAATTTACTTTTTTAATCAGCGGATCACGCGGTTTCATATCTAGCTGAATCTCAAATCTGATCGTAATTTTGCAAAACCTAATTTACTAATTTGAAAAGAATAGTAATTCCATGATAGTGGTCTTTTGAATATATTTTAATTCTCCCTCGTGCGTGCCAAACGTTGTGAGGAGACGAGCATATATGTTGATTTATACTTTTCATTTATTATTGATTTCTGAGAAGTCATAATCCTTTTTCCAAAAAAAATAAAAATCACAGTCCGTAGAAGTTTAAATATGTTTTTATTTTTACAATATATTATTTTGTTTTAATTCTTGTAAAATTATTCTTTAAAATAATATTTGTAAGAAAAATATTTTAATTTTTATTATTTTATTTTTTACTTTGATCTCTATAATATCTTATTCCTTTTGACTCTTTGAATTAAAAATTGTAAAGACTACTAAATAATTTACATGTTACAAAGATGAAAATAATATACATATTATTATAAAGTCTAGAACAAAAATAATATTAAAAAAAAAGTTACAAAAATCATTTAAAATAATAATATTTTTATAAGAACTAAAAATAAAAATAATTTAAACTGGTGACAGATGTCCATAGTTGACGAAGTTGAAATGCAGAAGTACCGAGACTTATACATCAGCAAATGTGAGGTGAAAGTGAAATGGAGTGCAGTGATGCTGAATATGTGGCACTGGGAGGAGAAGGTTCTTCTCCAAAGCTAGAGAAGACTAGGAAGGTTTCAATTATCCCTTTGATCTTTTTGATCTTCTATGAGGTCTCAGGAGGACCTTTTGGCGTGGAAGACACTGTCAGAGCAGCTGGTCCATTCTTGGCTCTCATTGGTTTCTTGGTTTTCCCATTCATATGGAGTGTTCCAGAGGCACTCATAACTGCAGAAATGGCCACCATGTTCCCAGAGAATGGTGGCTATGTGGTTTGGGTTTCATCTGCATTGGGTCCTTACTGGGGTTTCCAACTTGGTTGGATGAAATGGCTTAGTGGGGTTATTGACAATGCTTTGTATCCAGTGTTGTTCTTGGATTACCTTAAGTCAGCCATTCCAGCTTTAGGAGGTGGTTTTCCAAGGATAATAGCAGTGCTAGTTTTAGTTTTGGTACTCACTTACATGAACTACAGGGGCTTGACCATAGTGGGTTGGGCTGCAATATTGTTGGGAATCTTTACATTGCTACCTTTCATGGTTATGGGAATTATAGCAATTCCTAGAATAAAACCAACCAGGTGGCTCATGGTGGACTTGAAGAATGTGAAGTGGGGTTTATACTTGAACACACTCTTCTGGAATTTGAACTATTGGGACTCAATTAGTACCCTTGCTGGAGAGGTGGATAATTGTTGATTGATGACTATTGGAAATTAAAAAAAAAAAATTTAAATTATATGTTATGCTATTTTTTAGGGCGGATAACAGCCTGCACAGAGGCAACAAAAATCAAAAAATCAAAAAGAGACACCCGGACAAGGATAACCGGGATACTTCACCAACGTCGAAAGGATGTCAGCCAATCATAAGGCATCACTCACCTCAGAAAGAGCATCTTTGTGTCTACAACCCCAAGGAATCAGAAATTCCCCAGTGGACACCAACTACAGAAAGTTGGGACACAAGAACCTATGAGTAACTGCACATCCCCTAGACGGATCCCTGCGTTATCCAGCCCTCAGTGGCACAAAAATCAAAAAACAAC